TAGTTCAACAACAAAAAAATTAAGTTCGTACTTCCGGAAGTCTGGAAGTACCGGGTCGTTAGACCTCGGCAAAAAAGTATCGATTTTGGCAATTCGCAGATTTCATAGTGAGAGAGCCATTCCGCGCGACGATTTTTGCGAGAGAAGTTTCCTTTCGGAAGTTTTAAGACGGTAAAAAGCGTGTGGGATCGATGGGAAAAAAGTTTCGCGCTTTCGCCTTTCTGGATGGCAGATGGCGTCTTCGTCGGTTGGGAGAGGTTTTTCGACGCCTCGAAGGACGTATGGCAAAAATTTCGCCCTTTCCAGTTTACAAAATGTTTTTTTTTGCGCGCGCGAAATTTGACATTTACGGCGATTGAATGGAATTTTGGGAGGTTCCCTGCTTCAGGCACAGATGGCAGCACTGGCGAAATCGCATCCAGAGCATTGCGTTCAGCTCTGGAGACCCGCGGCTCCCTCGCGAAGCGTCTCCTCGAGTTCTCCGAGGAAGTCGGGAGGAAGTCACCAAGCGGAGGAAGTCGCCAAGCGGAGGAAGTCGCCAAGCAGAGGAAGTCACCAAGCGGAGGAAGTCACCAAGCGGAGCGGCGACTTCCTGCGAGGAAGACGGATGGAAGCGGATCCCCCCGAAGACTTCCGGTGGCTCGGAGAGCTCGAGGAAGTCGCTTCGCGGACGAAAAAGATGCCAGTCGCGCGAAGCCGACGACGTCGAAAAGCGAACGATGCGAATCGGAGTCGCGCGAAATCTGTTCGCCTTATTGATCCATGCTATCGAAAACTTACGGGGGAAAAAGTCTCTAAGCCTTTCTTGTAGAACAGGGTGCCCCAAAAGTCCGTCAAGAATCGTAACCCTGCGGTGCACAGCATCCCATACAAAACGTTACCCTCTCGTTCGTCCAAATTTAACCGCTTTTCCCCTAATCTTCACCCGCAGGGTCCCCCCCCCCCGAATTTGACCTCAGGTAAATTTTTTGCAAGGGTGAGCAAGAAGTCATGTGGGCTCAACGCAGGTGGCTCAGAGGGTTATGAAAACGCAAAAATGATGGACTTTCACCCTGTTGCGACTCAGGAATTCTCGGTGGATTTCTGCCGACGGCCTCAACGATTTGGGAGAAGGCCTCGCGAGTCGAACCAGCGAAATGGCCGACGGCCCACGAATGGCTCGTGAATGGCGTCGTTGAAGACGTTGATGAAGACGTCGTTGAAGACGTTGATGAAGACGTCGATGAGACGCGTTGAGCGCGCGATTGGAGGGCGTCGGGCAAAGGATGCTCCAAAAAGGGTCTTTTTTTTGCATTTGCCGAACTTCGCAACATTTTTAAATATCGTCGCAGAATTTACGTTTTTGCAGACACTTAATGGCGAAAATGGAGGAAGACCGGCGCCAATCCCGAATCTTCATTCCGCAAATGGCACGACATCCGTGCTAATTGCTCTGCGGTGGCGCCCTCTGTCTCAAGGACATTTCTCTTTTAAAACACAAACTTTTCTTTGACCACCCCGTACAGAGCAAGGCAAAAGCCGATGCGTTCGCCGCTGCAAAAAAAAAAAAATCTGCGAAATTTCTCCTAATCACATTGCTTCGCGGCAAGACAACATGCAACGACAAAAATGACGAAATTGATTTTTTTTTAAATGACGGGACGCACCGAAGCCGCACCATTAGATGCATCTTAAAAAATAACAATACCTCACATTTAAATAGTTTAAATTAAAAAAAATTCGGACGACTCACCTTCGACAACGCACGAGTCGGACCGGCACCGACGCATCTGCCGACTTTTTTTCGTCGCCCGGAATTTCGCCGCTCCTGTCTCCTCGTTATCGCCTCACCGGATTACACGCGCCGCCGGTATCTCACCGTATCTCGCGAGAGCGAGAGAGAGAGAGCGAGAGAGAGAGAGAGAGAGAGAGAAACGTCCTGACCCACAATTTTCGCGGGCGGGGGCCTTGGGACTGAAGGTTTCCGCGATTTGTCGAGTCGGATTGTCGCCCTACAAGGCGGTAGAGCGGGTTCTGTAATGGCTTGGAAGTTCGCGCGAATCTCGGAGGAAGCAAATGGGGCAAGATTTCTTCTCAAGAGAGACCTGACGGTAAACGAAGATGGCGGTGTAGAGAGGGTTCACTGTACACTTTGTAGGGGCATAGGTGTAGGGGACATATGTGTAGGGGCATATGTGTAGGGGCATATGTGTAGGGGCATATGTGTAGGGGCATATGTGTAGGGGCATATGTGTAGGGGCATATGTGTAGGGGCATATGTGTAGGGGCATATGTGAAGGGGCATATGTGTAGGGCAGGGATTGGGATCCTATGGCTCACGAGCCGAAAAGTTTGGTTCGTTGAGTTATGGCTGAAAGTCATGGTTGTTCCGCATTTTTCCCATGCATCAAAGAATGCATATGTCTGTTGCCAACTTCAGGAAAAATTCTGTTGTTCTGAAAATCTTTCGCTCACAAGCACTTAGCTCAATCTTAATATGGTTCACATGGCCAAAAAGGTTCCCGACCCCTGGTGTAGGGGCAAACTCGTAGAGGCATATTTCCAGGAGAATACTTGCAAAGGCACGCTTGCAAAGGCATACGTGTATAGACATACTTGTACAGGCATATTTCTAGAGAAAAACTCCTAGAGGCGAACAGAACTTGAGATGATTTATTAAGCGAATGAAGCGACCGCGGAACGCGTTCCCCCGGATTCAGGGAACGAGGCGCCACCGCGTCGGCTGCTCGCAGCGCAGTCCCTCCCCGTCGCCGCAGAACCGCTCGAAGGTGGACGAAGGCGGCACGCCGAGGATCTCCCGCTCCTCGTGGATGCGGAAGGAGAAAGTGGACTGGTGCGACCCGACGAAGGCCCTCGCCCGGGCGCAGATCAGCTGGTCCACGACGGCCGCCTCGCCGCGGAGGAGGGACGGCGCGGGTGCGAAGGAGGTCACGCGGAGGTCGATGACCTCTCGCTCGGGGTCGTCGACCTTTCGAGCGGGGGAGCGGAGGAGGTCCTGCAGCGTCTTCCAGGCGTCGGGGTCGTCCGATGCCACGAACACGGTGGATGCGTTCCACGCCCTCGCCTTCAGGGCGATCTGCGTCGCGGCGTGACTCAAGGAAGGCGTCTCTTTCGTGTAGTGCGTGAGGAAGTCGCGCCGACGCAGATGCACCGCCAGGTACGGCTGCCGCAGCTCGGAGGCGATGAAGTCCGCCGCGAGACGGACGAGATTCGAAGCGAAGACCATGCTGCGTCTGCACCGCCAAAATTCCCGGTCGCCGTACGCCTCGTGGAGGATGATCTCCGCCCGTTCCAGGAGGATGCTGGAGGCGTTGGACGCGAGGAGGACGGGAGCGAGCAGGCGACCCGACCCGAGTAAGGAGATGCAGTCGACGCGGCCGGCCGACCGGGCCTGGCCGTGGCAGGGCTGCATCTCGCAGCCTTCCTCGAAGCGCGACTCCTCCAGGTTCTCGCGAAAGAACTGGAGGCGGAACGTTCGTTCCACGGCGTGGCGGAAGTCTTCGCGTTCCACGACCGGCACGTACGTCGAGAGATGGCGGAGGGAGAAGAACGTCCGCCACGGGATGTCCCGCTCCTCGAGCGTCCCCCAGTGGTACAGCGGCCCCCAAGGCGGGAGAACCAGGATCCAGGGCTTCCCGCTCTCCACCGCGAGGTGCTTCACGAGGGATGCCACGCGGATGTACACGTCTCGGATCAGATTGAAGCCCTCGCCCGGGTTCACGGCGAACAGGAGGTATCGCGGCTTTGGGGCGTCCTGGGACGTACAAGTGGACCGAGGGGTGACCCACGTCCTGGGATCGCTCCGGGCATCACACACGTCGGAGGCGGATACGCGAGACGCGACGAGAATCGCGGACCAGCAGCACCACCGCCGGAAGACTGACATTTCGGGCAGGACAGAGAAATTTCAGCCAAAGCAATCTAGAGTTTTTCTATAATAAAAATATAACTTTTCCGGAACGGTGTTGTAAATTATTCCAGATGCAAGATGGGGTTCCATTTCGTCTCATGTATGCACATTTATCTAAATAAATAAAAAAGATGCAAGAAATTCTTCAGGATGGTCTCATAGGGCCTGACTTTCAGCATTTCCAGGTTATAGTCATTCTTGGTCAATATCCTCAAATGTAGGGAAATATTGAGCGCGTATTTTAGTGGTGAAGCAATTCCGAGACGCTTGCGGTAGAACTTCAGTTGCTTTCAGAGTAAGAATTTCTACCTTTCATTTGATGAACTTCGAAAGGAATTTTTGGTTTGTTTGCTTTTTTGTTTTAAATGAACTTCTCGTAGACTTGTGGCTGAAACAATTGGATTCATTGGTTCACTTTTACGAAAACTTGTCAAAATGTCTCAGGACCCCTAATTTCAGTAATCACATCCTGTTTGAGTTCCATAGGCACTGTCAACTAAATTCTGCACCTCAAATGTTGAGGATGAGAGTAATAGTCAATACCGGCATACGTCCAGGGGCACAGCAAATGCAGACGACATAAAACTGAACATTAGCAAGTGAAAATCATCAACTTTTACTCCCACCACACCTCCAATCTATGCAATAATAAGAGGTTTGGAGTATCCTCCATGCAAGCTTCCTGCCTTCCTTGGAGCCAAACTCCTGCCCTTTCATCAAGCACAACAGCAATAATTCCCATCTGTATCGTGCAGAATGTTCACCAAAACACAAAGAAAGAGGAAAAGTTGAACATGCCAGGGCACCAAAAGGCCCCAAGCTGCAGCACAGCTCCACTGCACTATCCTGCTTTCCATTGTTTCTTCAAGTGTGATGCAAATGGCAAGGGTGATAATATTCTTTATTTATCTGATAACTTAAAGAAGAGGATCACTCACAAGAGCTCAGAGGTTGTACGACTCAGGAGAATTCCTGTCCCAGTGCTTAAGACTCAACCAACAGTTATCATACACAACCAAAACAAATCATGCCACGAAAATACGATAGTAAATGCAACGCATTTGTCTGAGCTGATGCTGAGCTGCAAAAAAAGGGGGGAAAATAAGAGCCTCATTGAGATGAAGTCCCAGTTGTCACAGGAGGAGCACTCAGGTACTCGGTCAAGTTCTCGTCAGTTTCGTTTGGCCGCCGTCGTCAGCGACTGGAGGACTTGAACATGGAGAAGAAGTCGTCTTGGTCGTCGTCGTCGCTGTCTAGCTGAAGCGGAAGGGTGTCGTCGAGGGTCACAGTCCCAGACGTGCTTGGTGGGAGGGATAGGGGAACGGACTCTTCCTTTGCTGCCACTTTACAGCCACCTTTGAAGAACTTGAGGATTTCCTCTGTGCCCTGAAGGCAACTGCTGCTCAGGCCTGCTCCCACCTTTTTGGAAATGACATTCAGATACACTCAGAAATAGGAATTGTACTCAAGGATTCCAGAAACAGAAAGAGGATGGACTAAGTTAGAATGGCCTTTTGCCTTGAGTATGAATGGTGTTGCCATGCAAAGACTTCTAAAGAATGTATCAGGCAATTATTTGTTTTTGTAAGTGGGACTTGAACAGCTAAGTTCTAAAGCATAGTACACCAATACACTAAAAGGGGCAAGTAGTGTGTCACTTGAGCACAGTACAGTACACACAAAAACTTACCATTACACTGAGCTTAACAAACTGATAATATGTCTCGAGGACGGAGACCACAGGGTCGAAGGACTTCTTGGGCAGCATGAGGCGAGCCTCTGTAACGCGCTCCTCACTGTCCATGATGCAGTAGCCAAGGAGAATCGCAGTGTGTGCAGCCACCACTGCCTCCTCCATGTGCCGACCTGCACGATGCACCACTGCAAGAGATCCCCATAACTGGTGAGTTGATGGTCTCTCAATTCAGGCCTCAAAGGTGTTTGAGAGATATAATGGTCAGTTAATCCTATAGATAACTTGGCCTGTGTAATGAATTAGCCAAAACTATCTCCCCTCACATAAGACATCCTACCAATGGTGCAGCAATAAATGATTTCAAACAAGAATGGAGAGAGGCAATATTAAGCCACACAGCTGGACAGGCAAAATTTGCATGAATGTACAGGGTGTCCATAAAAAAACATACACTTTTGAAGTTCAATATCTCCTGAATGGAAAAGGCATAGAACAGTGAAATTTTAGGGGGATACTCAGGGGTTCATGGGATTTTACTTGAGACTGTTTTGCATAAATTTTTTAAAAGATATTTTTCCCCCATATTTGCATTCTTGGCAGTATTGAACTGCTACTGAAAGTATGTAATAATTTTCAGTCATAGATAGAAAAGTCATGACTCTGCCTAAGAAGCAGAGAGGTGAACTAGTAAAAATTTTCTACACCAACAAGTGTAATGCTGTTGTTGCCTTATGAAAATACCACTCAGCACACAATCTGTGCTTGGGGTCCTGCTTGAGACAAGCTCTGATGAATTTGGTGAATAAGTTCATGAAGACGGGTTGTGTTTGCAACAAGCTGCATGGAGGTAGGCTGTGAACTCCTGTAGATGTTGTCACAGAAATCAGAGGTGCGATAGACAACGAGCCTACCACAAGTTCACATGGAATGAATAAACGTTTGGACACGTTTCAGCTCGTACGGAAACATTTGTAGAGTTTGCCTTAGAACCTTGTGCACAGTTAATTGGGAAGATCCAGAAGACGGGCGATGGCACGACTGCTGCTCGTTCCACGTGCATTTGTGCTAGACTCTTCATCAATCACAACTCTGATTTCAGCGACAACATCTACAGGGGTTCATGGCCTGCCTCCATGCAGCTTGTTACAAACACAGCTTGTTCGTCTCCTTAAACTTATTGACCAAATTCATCAGAGCTTATCTTGAGCAATTCCCAAACACAGGTTGTGTGCTGAGTGGTATTTTTGTAAGGCAACAACAGCATTACACTTGTTGGGGTAGAAAATATTTATTAGTTCACCTCTCTACTTCTTAGGCAGAGTCATGACTTTTCTATCTATGACTGAAAATTATTACATACTTTCAGTAGCAGTTCAATACTGCCAAGAGTGCAAATATGGGGGAAAATAAAATTTAAAAAATTTTTGCAAAACAGTCTCAAACAAAATCCTATGACCCCTTGAGTATCCCCCTAAAATTTCACTGTCCTATACCTTTCTGTTCCGGAGATACTTTAACTTCAAAAGTGTAAGTTTTTTTTATGGACACCTTGTATATGAAGGAAAACAAAACAGAATCAGTAAAGTGTCTCCTTGGTTACTTCAGTGGCATCCTGTGAAGCCATTAACAAGATTTCTTCCTCTAGTCTTGCCGTCTTGAGCTGGCATATCACAATAATCAATGAATGACCTTGAGTTACTTTGGAAAATTTATGTTGGCAGATTCAACAGATTGATTTAAATACATATTACCACTTGCAGCAGCTCAATGTCTACTACCATTAAGTTAAGTCAGTGCCATATTTGCCAAGCAGTGACAGTGAGTTTATCTTCAGCATTGGACTACATCCAGCAACAAAAAAAAGCAGGAATTTTTCTTGCTCTGAAACCTACAACAGAGACATAAAACATGTCAGATGCTTTAAACACCTAACATGGTATCAGGAGAAGGTACTTACAATCCTCAACAAACTCCTCCAGGTCGGCCACCTCTTCCTTCTTGCCAACCAAAGCCTTCTCCTTACTCTCCTTTTCCTTGGTATCCAGCAGGTTATCCGTGCTGGCTTCTGCTTCTGATGCACGTGCCTCCTTCTCACAGAACAGCTCGCAGAGCATCTTCAGGCTACTTATTTGCTTACCTATAGGGAACAAAGAATCAATTCCACAATGACAATAAGCGAGGATATCCCTTTTTGCAGGACTCTTCACCAGAAGTGAATCCTTGAATTCTATAAAATCCATTTACCTACATTTATGGGAAAACTATGGCATTTAACTTCAACACAGACAACTCTCCCTAATTCAGATTTCAGGGGAATAAAAAATTTGTCTGGGTTAGTGACACATTTGAATTATCAAAAACTTGGAGTGAACATTTTCTTTTTTTTTCCATCCCATATGATGGGAGTAAGTTCCTTCAACCTGTCCTCACATCAAGATATCTCAAACTTCTCCCTTCCCGAACAAAGAATCCTTTGATTCAAACCTGAAACTTCTCTGGTGCCAGATAACACTGGGAATGTATAGGGAGGGAGATAAGAAACTTGCTGAGGCTTTGACAAGGATGGATGGGGCTGCCTGGGAAGAATAAGATGGCTGCAATGAGTGAAGGTCTCAGGATAGGTAGATCAAAGGAGATAAGCTGTTTTCTTTCCTTCTCTTTCTAATTCCTAAGGTGAAGGGAAGGGGAGACCCAGGAAAGGGGCCAATAATCTCCTGCATCTTAGGTCCATATTTCTGGATTTATATGATTTTTTTTTGGAGAGGAAAGTAAATAAGAATAGGTACATGTGAACAACTAGCAGGGAATTCATAGAAATCATTTCGAGTGGAGCCGTTGATATGACTGAATTAATGGAAGTGCTAGATTACAGGGGTTCAGATAAAGCAGAGTTGACTGCAAATATTTGCCACACATCACGTGTGCGTTCCACTTATCTCTTTATGAAATACTTCCTGGTAATAAATTTATTATTGCTCCTGCATGCTATATCTGAGCATTCTCATACACTAAAACCCTCACAGTCTACCATCGCATTCTCCATAATTTCAATTCCACCATTCAAAGTCATTAGCCAGGAAGCTTGGGACTTTTGTATACTTCTGAATTTTACTTTTGTAGGGTTTTGGGATTAAAATTTTTTGGGGCAAAATCTGATGCAATTTGAAATAAGAATTTGAGTGCTACATGTTTTAATGGAACTCCATGAACCAAAAGGAGAAGTTATAGTTAATGATATTGGTACCACCAATTAATGCAATATTATGAAAAACTACTGATAAGAAGAGCAGAACAGATAACAATGAAGTCTGGCCAAACTGAAAAAAATTATTTGCATAAATTAAAATATGTACATGATATCAGATTAATAATACCAGCTATCTGGCCATATTGGGATAGCTTCTACATGCAGCCACATTGTCAGAAGCTTAGTCTTCAATGTTGGGTGCAAAAATCCCCAATCCCTCCCAGTCAAGCTTAACCTGCAATATTCCCAACATAAAAAAGTTTTGCTCATCACATGTCTTAAAGGAGGGAATGGGGGAACTCAATTGTCCAAGTATGCTAAGGCTCTCCTGCAAATTAAAAGGAACTTCTCTCAGGGGAAAGAATCAAACCTTCTAACACTCCCAGCTACATTTCAAATGATAGAAGAGGGGATGCGGATTTGAAGAACTATGTGCAAAAACTCGACGTTTGCTGCCAAAGATTTCGAATTCAGACTCATCACTCCAGAGCATTCATTTCCACATTCTGACTGTCCAATCCTTATGCTGGAACCCAATCTAGTCTTTTCTTCTTATTAACTGGATGCAGCAGTGGTTTTCATGCAGCTACATGTCCATATCATCAGAATTCCTTTAAACCGTTTTTCACCGTAGAAGTACTGATCATCATTGAAAACATCATTGAACTGATTGCAAAAGGGCATGATTTTACCAGCCGTCAGTCTTCTATCTGATAAAGAAATGTTCCTAAGTTCAATATCTGGCCATTTTGTTGGGTTTTTTTTTTGGCCTGATGGTTCGCTTTTGGCTCTCATCAATACCAAATCTCTCGAAGCACTCTGAAGTTCTTTGTAGCAGCAACGAGAAATGTTCATTTTTGCTGCAATCTGAAGTTGAGAGTATCCTTCCTCTGAATAAGCAAGGACTCTTTCTCTTTCTTTAACAATTAGTCTGATCTTTTGCTCTTTTTCTGGAAAAATTGAATCTCTCTAAATATCCTTTGCAAGAACATGGGTAGTATAATTGTTCAAAATGGTACAAAAATGTAATAAGCAAAACGAAACTGATGAAATATAATACTTAGGAGATTAAATCTTATCACAAATCTAAAAACTCTTAACTTTAATACACTTTAAAGTGAAGCAAGTAGTAGGATGCAAAATGTGTTCCTTTGCAAAATCATGAATAATTTGAAAAAATAAAATAATAACAAACAAAAGAACAATTTGGACGAATAAGAACCATGATTAATCATTTACATTTCATTTGAAAAAAGAGCGTTAAATTGTTTGGGTCTTTATCTTGAAATATAACTTTTGCAATCTGCCTCAAACTTTCTGGTGGTACTGTATCTACTGCTTCATTTCAAAGGCTCACTAGGCCTATAGGGTCATTCTTGTGTCAAATCAACACGGTGTTAAAATGTGACTTTTTCTGATTTGAATTAAATTTGGCAGGCTTATTTGTACCTATAAGAAAGTGACCCTCAGCAATTATTGGGGTCATTTGATTTCTTGTTTCTCAGATATGAGGTCATGAAAATTCAAGCCAAAATGCCTTCTTACCGCATTACGATACAGTCTTCCCCTCATAACTTCTGCTCTATTTGACCTAAAGACTTCTTCTTGGGCTCATTTGAATGCTCTTTTCAAACCCTTTCCAAAAAATGTGACAAGGGTTTGAATAAATGCTAAAAGTAAACTTTTAATGAGGAGGCCATCATAATGAAAACCTGTTATATAGTTTGGTTTGGTAATATATTACCAAAAAATACCATTTTAGATTTTGAAAAAAAATTGAATGGTTTGAAGGCATATGAAGTTATCTCTATGTTACCCCTATTTTACCTTGGGCACTCCAGAGGTTCTTGAGATAACTATGAAAGAGAGTACCATTAATTGTGACTAACATAGCTGCATCCAGCAAAATATATTATTTAAAGTTTAATGGACTGCATAGAACTGAACATAATAAAGGAAAGTCAAAATTATAGTCATATAGAACCAAGTCCAAAGAGAATCTTGAAGGTAAATTCTCTGAACTGGTGCTCATATGAAGACATATGAATGCATGCATCATCTCTACATTGGATTGTTTGTATACATGTCCTACGTCCACCACTTTTACATGTCATAAACCTTCTGCTGCTAGAATATGGGATCTCTATTGGAGTGCTGTTTTCTCCACCTGACTCCTCCAAATTAGCAAATCCTTTTCCACAAGAGTGAAGGTGTCTACACTTTTCTGTGTCCCATGGCCACAGAAGTTCAGTAAATTCAAGTATTCTTCAATGGAACGGGTGCTTTCAGGAATCACACATTTTTTAACAGTTGTGACTAGACTTTCAAATATACAGCTAAGTAGTCAATGTCTAGTCATATGTACAAAAAACATTTAAAATGTAGAATTAAGTTCAATACTAATAAAAAGTATGTTATTTTCTATAAATGAAAAACCGCATAATTAATTTTTGAGGTGCTCAGCATTGAAAGCTATCATCTTGGTCAACTTCACATATCTGCAGAAGCCATGCCAGAAAGACAAATGTTGCTTTACACTTCCAAGCATTAGGGCAATTCTGGGAATTCCACAACACTCATGAAACTGGAGGGTAATTCTGCAACATATCACTTTCTGCAATATCATTTCCCTGTAAGAACCTCAATCAGTACCCCATCTAGTTTATGGATAGTGACATATGTACTGTAACATCACTGTGATCCCAGCTCTTTCATCCCAGCTAGATTAATAATGACATGTGGACAATGGAAGCAAGGTGCTCTTCCTAGCTGAATACTGTGCTCTATGGCAAGAGTCAGATTGTTAGACGTGAGTTGAACATTATCTATAAATATATTTTAGGGCATATGGCAATGTAGATTACACCTCCATTCAGTCCTTTAATAGTTTTAGGACTGTGTAAGAGGTGATTGACATGCATAACTCCTTAAGTATCAGCAGTGCAGACATTGCAGAATTACCTGGTTGGAAAATGAACCATCGGTGAATTCTGTAACTTCTTGCTGGGACATTTTCTGCATTCTCCTGACAGCAAGGTTTTTAATTTTGCACTCTTATCGCTCAGTCTTCTATCGAGCTTATGCAGGTCACATCCAACTTCGAATTCATAGTTACCTACAATAAGTTTTGATACTGCCATTTGCAAAGAAATGGGAAACCCCAAAGGTAAAACCAAAAATGCAGCAAGAGCCAGAGAACAAAGGAAATAGCCAATAACAATCAGCAAGAAGGATGAGACAAGCAAATCAGCAAGGATGAGACAAGCAATAAGTACATGCAGGAAGATCAAGATGCTGCAATTAATGACACAAAGTCTGGCAGGATGGGATTGCGTGGGACTCCAAAATGTATGGAGTGCCATGAACAACCATAAATGATAACAGAGGAGGGTTGGCAAATTATGTTTCAACATTGGAAATTGAGAGTATGATAATTTCACTGTCTTGAAATAAAATAACATCACCAGGATAATTTACAGCAAATGTTAGAGGTCCTTCTTTTAAACACATCTTGAGGCCCCCACTTTCCATTGCCAACAAAAAAAAACCAAGAGAAAAGACATAAGATGCCCTTTACTTGTCATGGGGAATCTTGGAGATATCCTTCTTCACTTCGTTCGGTTGAAATATTATTTTGTACTTTATACCTGAATTCCTGGTAAATCAGAACAAGAGAAGAACTATTATCCATCATTGCCAAAGTTAAGGGCCTGAAAACTAATAACTTCACCCTTGAAGGACAAAGAGGCATGGAAGAAGTAAGGGTTGCAGAATTCCCACAATAGTATTGTGGCTTTACCGGAATGGGTGCAGAATAGCTGAATGCTCATCAGGAAGGATGATCACTACAAAATCTAACACTGGAAATTTTAAAGAAGAAATCCTCCTGAGCTTCGAGTCATCTGATTTGTCTTTTCAAGTTTCATTGAAGGTATAATACAACATGGTCCTATGCACACAAATGCTGTCAGCTCCAATGAAACAAGGGAACAAACAGTCGGGATCCAAAGTTGCTGTTGAATTCACAGATTTGCCCTATAGTAAAAAATATTCTTAAATATAGGTGCAATGCTACATACATGCATACATAGCCCGTGAGCATGAAATATAATTAAATTTAATGGGCTCATTTTTACATGGAATTTAATGAAAATAATATGAACTCATTTAAATGCATTCCCAGAGGTCCCAATCACAAAGTGTAATATATTCTGCTTATGGATTTCATGTTAACAGCTCTAAGCTGAGCGAGTGGCTTGGTTGATAATGTGTTTGCATCCCATGGTAGGGTACCCAGGTTTGAACCTAAACAAGTCCTGTGCTTATTTCCAAGAGGAAGCCCCAGTGTGCTTGGGAAGGGAGACCCCTAAGCACTTGGCACTCCCATCTAAGGATGGGAGTGCCCAAGTGCTTAATCATTAAAGATCCCCAATGGAGGAAGGCCAAACCTCAGGTAGTATATTCCCAGAACAAGCACATGGGCCAAATTGAGTCTCCCAAGGTTAGCTGATGTTACAAGGGGGAGGGTGTTGATGGGAACATGGTTAGCTGATGTTCCAGAGTTAGGGTGCAGTCATGGGCCTTGAGCCTCTTGCACCCTGTACCTTATTGTTTAGAAATTATCTTAATTATCTTCAAAAGTTACCAAGTGCCCAAGTTAAAATGTTTTCCAGAGGTTGCCATATGTCTTGTCTACTATTTACCCAATTCTTTTCAAAATCAAAGGGGGTTGTTTTTGATTACGTGAGGTCAAAGGTTCACCTTCACCACCTTACTGAATGATAACTTTTAGTATTCACCAAAATGTATTAATATCGATGGAAAGGCAGGAAAATAACTAAAAAATAAGGCTAAGATGCAGTGGCATGCAACCAGCCCTAAACTTTGGAGGAGGGTTCGAAGTTCTCATGACCTGTCTTTCAAATGTCTCAGAATGTAAGAAGGCATTTTCAAATCATCAGGAGAAATATATACAACAAAAACATGAAACGGCGTGAACACACGAACAAAGAAAACGAAACAAAGAAAAATATTTTGAAATGGTGGAAACAGAATTTGAACTTTAAATGATAAAAGCACATTTGATATCAGAAAAAAGCTTTAAAAGGAACAAAATTAATTTCAGGATTAAGCCCAAACATCACTGTGCAGATATGCAACTGGTAATTTGTTAGCATGTACACGATTCGTGCTTTTCATTTGAATCATCGTCCTTCCATTTTCAGAAAAAAATTCAGTAGTGTCACATGTGGAGGATGTTTCCTTGACAGGTTCACTTTACTAATGTGAGTGGCTATATGTGACAGGCATGACATTCACCTTTCACCTCCTACCTTTGTGCCTTTCCGGTTTTGCTCTCAGGTCGTTTGCCCATGATGTCTCGTTGCATCCCCCACTCTAGGGGGAGTGGGGGATGGAGAAGTAGAGAGATACCATCATGAGCAGAGGTTGGGGGGGGGGTTCAGACCCCCTGAACCCCCCCCTTGATTGCACCCCTGCACAGTTGTTCAGAATTTGTCAAAACCTAGCCAAAAGTAAAAAAATAAAGTTTTACTAATTGTGAAAAAATCGCATTATTTTAAATCAGGTGTCCATGTCTCACTAAAGCAACAAAATTTCTGTTTCTCCCTCCCCAATTGACAGAGTAATTACCTAAAGTGTTGGAAACTTCATGACAGGCATAGGTATAGTTTTGTAGTAGTCAGTTTCCTGGTAATGGCTGTTTTGAAATAAAATAACCGCTTCATAGTAAGAAAATGAAATTTACTTTGATGGAAGGTGATGATAAGTGACTTCTTTTCTATTAGTTGTTACCCTTGTGAAAAATCAGATTTGTTCCATAAATTGATTTATATTGACAAAATTTCCTCACACAAAAACAAAAGGACGTTGCAGATGGCAATATATTAGCCATTCTAACCACCCAGGCAAAAACAGGCAGCTAAAATTATGACTGGATAACATACATATGCAAGACTAATTTTAGGAAAGTAAATCCTTGGCATCTATTAGCACACAAATTTCTGGTGAACAAGTTTCAAGGTCTGCAAAAAATTGTAGTTAGAAAAAATGGGTTTCATGATTGCCCACTTCATGGACAAACCTAATTTTTCACAAGGCTAACAACTATTGGAAAAGAAGTCACTTATCACCGTCTGTCAGAGTAAATTTCATTTTCTTACTATGAAGTGGTTATTTTACTTCAAAACAGCTATTATCAGGAAACTGACTACTACAAAACTACATCTATGCCTATCGTGAGGTTTCCAACACTTAAGGTAATTACTCTGTCAAAAGGGGAGGGAGAAACTCAGAAATTTTTTATTTTAGTGATACATGGACACCACTGATTTAAAATAAGATTTTTTCACAATTATTACAACTTAATTTTCGACTTTTGGCCAGGTTTTGATGAATTCTGAACCACTGCACCCTTCTGAGATGAGCTCTCTAGCTTAATTAGGACAGAAGTATCAAGGAGGATACTGAATTGAGGGACAAGAATAAGGCATTTCAGCCTCAAATTTTGTGACCTCATACCAGAGGAACCAGGGGTTTAATGAACTCAATATTTTGTGTGGGCTAGTTTCTTACCATTGTTGATATGTACACCTAATTTCCAAATCAGAAGGGGTCACCAGAAAAATGTCCTCCGAGTGTGTTGATTTGACACAGAATGACCCATGAAAAGGTTCTTCCCAGAACAACATGCATGATGCTGCTTTCGCATGAATGAAGGCAACAACAATCGCTTCCTAGGCTTCTTAAATTTGGCATTGAACTGCAACTATATAATTTAAAAGAAAACTTTACCATACGTACAAAATAGATTAAGTCACCAAACAGAACCAGATTTGCAGTACATTAAACAGATGAACACAGAAAGAAAAATGAAAGTAAATACTCACCATTTATAGTCATTTGAAGGTCATTCCCAGCAAGCCTATCCCTGTTTTCTAGACACCTCTCTACCATATTCGTCAACAGGACCAGTGGCTGCAACAGACAGCAGGGAAAAATTAAAGACAGTCAATATCATGGCCATTATGGGGTAACCAAATTCATCATTATTGATTGGATGAGTGGATTGTCTAGGTGATATGCTCATTGATTGACTTTGACTTCCACCATCAGTTACCAGCCTTTCCCACTTGTTTCAAATTTCTTTGCATGACTTATCACTTCTTCCAATTTATACTTAGTTCTAACCAATTTTAAATGTGTGAAAATGTAATAGTTTTAAATCCTAGACAAAACACTGTGCCAATCCAGGCATTAATCAAAGATACATCACTCAATGCATCCATGACATCTCAAATTACTATCACCAAGGCAATCAAGGAAGCCAATCTAGCATTCCGTACCAAGTCAAAATCAGAACTGACCAAGATGTAAACAAATAGATGCTTCTCTTCAGGAAGATGCTTGGGCAACTCCACTAAGCACTCCAGGGTCATTTTAAACAGCTCTGGGTGCCTCTCAGCCACTGAACGGCTTGCAGTGGCTATAGAGCAAAAATGACTGATGAACCAAACTCAAGTCAATCAATTTACCCATGATCAAAGCAAGCACAGGACTTACAAGTCTTTGAATAGTCATGCGTGAGATGAAGCAGGGTCTTGAGTATAGTAAGAAGAGCCTCTAGATTGGCACCAAATGGGGTACTCCTATCCACCTTGGTCTTGTCAACAATAGGAGACGCAGAAAGCACCTTGATGGTTGAGCAAAAGAATGGGAAGAGGCGTAGGCACAGCTTCAGGAGCAGCCCACCCTGATGCTGGAGGAGGTAGCGTTGGTTGTCCTCATTCTGGTACGTCACCTGGTCCCACAGATGCAATACACACAAAGTTATGAATTTAAATACTGGGTCATCACAGAGACAACATTTTGATAATGCATCAGGGCTTCTATTATTCCTGATGATTCTTTTCATCTCTAATAAAATTAGATATTTTCAACTGAATATGAGCAAAAGTCTTCTTAATGGCATATTTCAAAATACTTTTTTTTCAATAAATTTTTTCTATAAACCACAATACAGTACATTTGCTTTTCCCAGTTTTTCACATACCTTTTGAGCATCTGTTCATTTCCACATTCCTGTAGAGCCCAGAGAATTGGAGAACAGGGAGTGAGTGAGCATGCATTACAATTTACTGGAACTGCCCATGCCTACAGATGGTTTTGAACACTCACATTCTCGAGGACCTGGAGGCACCGGTCAGCCTTGTGAAGCTTCTCCATGACCTCAGAGGTCCAGGCACTCCAGGAACCCTGCCCCTTGGAGAGGAGGGACTCCCTACGTCCCAAGAGATACTCTGTGCACTCCGCCAGTGTTCCAATGATGTGATCCAACCCATTCAGCTCCCGCAACTCCTCCTTGAACCATTCCCCGGCCCGGCGAGAAGTGAGGCTCAGCAGAGTCTCCATAGCCAACTGGTTTGCCTGGAGGAAGCAGATTGACCATTTTCATCACAGGTGGTCATATGGAGGATAAGACATACAAGCATGAACTCTCATGGAAATTGCAAGCAAAGTCAATGTTTCATGAATAGCACATTTTGCCAATTGAAATGGTAAGGAAAAATAATTCTGACGATATCTACAAAGAATAAATTGTAAGAAAAAGCAGGTATTGAAGATGATGTTGGCTGTTAAGGTGTCATCCTTCAAAGATAGAATCAATCATACCCAATGATGCAGTACACTGCACCTCTGCAACCCTGGAAAGGCCTATTTGTTATTCATCAAATTCAGGGCTCTTAAGGTTCTTCACTGCATATATCTGAATGTAATCTTGCATCAAGATCTATGGGAACATGAATCAAAAGAATAACACATCTTTCACTGCACAATAACAGCAGTGAGGTCATCCTGGAAATCCCAACCAGAACTCTTCTTCCTCTACAACCCTTTGGCAGCTGAAAAGTTAGACTCAACTGCATGCAGATGAATACACTCCAAGCATTCAAAGTTTGAGTAGATAGTTTGGTGGTGACAAGCTATTTCACCTGACAATTTCAACTTCTTCCAGGTTCACTTCCTGTCCTTATTGTAAGTTTTTTTGTATTTTTGTGAACCTTCATATACATAACTGTTATCATCACTTTAAAATCACACTTGTCCAGTCTCTGCCTCAGCTCCCAGAATGCAAAGCCCACAAGGACGAGGGCTACTTCAGCTGCTACAGTCAGCAAAGGGTAAACTGTAAGCTGTAAAAGGTAAGCAGGGCAACATACTGTGAGGTCATCAAGGTTGAGATGGGTGGCATGCCCCTTGCGCTGCATGTCAGCACACAGCTCCTGCACCTTTGCTTTGTTCTTCTCAAAGTCTTTATCATCGCACTTGACATGCCGCAGTGTTGAACCATCTGAGGTGTCTGCTAGTTGCAGCATCAGATTCAAGCTCTCTCGATCCAGGTCCATGTTCAGTCGGTCCTGGCTCAACACGAACATCACTGTTGCTGTGCACAGTGACAGGCTCTGAAAGGAAAATTTAAAAAATCCTGTAAATGAGGCATTGAAGATGTTCTCATCAGACAACAAGGCATTGATGGAAGAGCTCACCGGGTCAGATGGCGCATCATGGAGAGTGGCAAAGAACTTGGTGACTGTGCTGTGAGCCCGAACATGCATGCGAAATGCGGGCATCATGCACTTTGAGGCCAAAGTGACTGCTGACAGGCACCTGCATGCAATACACATGGTCATAGGTCAGAATGAATGTACTGAAAAAGTGTAGTTCCAACAAACTGGATCATATGAAAAACTCATTTCTGGTAGATCCAACAAAAACCTGAATTTTAGACCTTAGTCCTGCTGATACAATAAAGGAACCTCAAACAACACCTAAAATTAATATCAGACAAAAATTGTAGGCATGAGTGGAACAATATAGCAACCTAAAACATGATTTCCAACTCTCGTAATTTTCAATTTCTGTCTTATCTCAGTGGATGTTCTTTAATACTGAGATGATCATAATACTGAACAGATGGATGGCTGAGGGAGATGGGATAATTTATTTTCACCTTGTACTAATGGAATTGGTGTCCTTGAGTGCATCGAGTATGTATTCAACATCATCATTGAACTCTTGGAATTCTCCTGACTCCTGGATCTGGTGGGCCTTCTGGACATTCTTCACCACAGTGTAGAACTATAATAATAATGTCTGTTTAGACACAGGCAACAACTCATATATTTTACAATCCCTTAAAAAATGCTTAGGATGCTCACCCCTTTGGCCTCCTTAGGACAGCGAACCTTGGTGACCTCAGGTTCACTGGTAGCTCCGAATGGAGTGATCCGATTATGTGTTGGCCATGTGGAGACTTTGGTCAGCTTGGCTGGCTGGACAATGTCATCAAAGTCAAATGATCCAGACTTTTCCTCCGTCTTCACCTTTGACTGGGCCCCACTGGCCAGAGGATTGGGCTTTGCAAGGGCATCATCATGCCACTTGTGCTTGTACAGACTCCTCTTTGGCTTGTTGTTCCCACTAAAGATCTTCTTGGCTCTGGTGTTTGGCATGTCTTTGTCCTTGGCTTCGTCACTGGACTGGGATGATATCCCAGATGACTGAGATGAGGGCATTTCTGGTGTCTGTGACAAACTGCTGACCTTCTTGAGTTCTCTCACAAGTGGGGACTCAGACTTCACAGAATCTGCTACTGATGATCCCTGAGTTGAATCTGTGACAGTGATCTTGTCTGAGGAAGCATCGAGATCAGAAGATAAGTCTACTTCAGCTTTTATCACCGTTTTCTGACGAGCAACAGCCCCACTCCTAGTAATCACTGATGTCCGCTTATGGAATACAGCCTCAGCATCCTGCTTAATGTCAAGAGTGTCAACACAGGTCACTTGTTCAGTCACACCTTCATCCTGAGTGGCACTTGCATGGTCAGACTCAGGACTAGAGGATATGTCTACAGTCTCCATTGGACTGCTCAACAGGGATGAGACACTTGGCATTGAGGAGGGTACAATTTCACTATCAGTTTTTAAACCAGAATTTTCTACATGTTCATCATTCAAAGGTGGAGGGATATTTGCAGGTGAGTCAAAGAACTTCTTCATGACAATGCGGAGGGGGCTGGTGCGGGAAGGACGACAGTTCCATCGCACATCACCATCATCTTCCTTTGCTGCTGGTTCCTCAACAGCCTCAGCTTTCGTCTTCTTGATTGGACACTCGTTGGAAGCCTTCTCAGCCAGGCTGTTGATATCTGCTTGAACATTGCCGACACGACTCTTGAAGAACTTCCTTTTGGTGGGTGCTTGTTTCTTGGACATGACATCAGGCGAGGAAGACTGGAAGAGGAATGGGTCCTTTGAGGGACTTGGGATTTCTACCTCATCTAATGGATCCCCATTCCGACCTGAAAGCAAACCACTTCATGAAGAGTGACTAACAATTAAAACTTTATAATTTCTCAACAAAAGCAGTCACCATTCAACTTGGCACTTCGTATGGACGTGCAAGATATATTGCCCCATTTCCCAAGGGTGCCAGCCGTCTTGGAGGCAGTCGTCGGCTTCTTCTTGTCCGAGAGCAGGGCATCAAATTGGAGACTGCTAGTGCCCACAGGCGGCTGCTGGTGATGCTGGTGCTGCTTTCGCCCATAAGTCCTTCCAGTATACCTTGACATCCTGGATGCCATTTTTATGTATTGCAATGAAAGCAATGGTCAAAGGCAAGCTGTGACTTCCACTAAGTCAATACTGTTTTTCTTCATAGCTGGTCATCTAGAAAGATGCACATCATTGCACTGAACACAATGTAAGAACTGAAATGCCAGGCCAAGATACCCTTACAAAAGAGTTGCCAGCCTATAGATTTGACCCAGTCTGTATTTTTTTTTTCCATTATTATGATTCAGGTTGACATACCTGTCATGTTAGTGAACTACTTAGAATATCATGCACCCTATCCAGCTAGATTCAAGGCCAACTGCCTTCAGTGGCTGCCAAGTCTGGTGAGTTCTTGTTCTGGGTGCCTTAGCAAACATGTAGTGTTACTTTCCTGCTCTAACTGGGAAACAACTCAACTAGATCATTAGACACCACTCAGAAAAATGACCAAACAGTACTTAGAAAGGAGATACATTTATGCCAGTGAGCCAGTGTTATAGTACCAACACACTGTTTAAAGAGACAATGGATCTTAATTCAGGGTAATAAGACCAATGTAATACATAAAAACCATTTTTTATGTTTTTTCACAAGCCTAGATATAGCTGTACATCAGCTACAGAGAACACCCTTGTTGGCCAGACTATACACTGCAATGCATAAATCCCTGAATATTGATCCTAGAGATTCTAAACTTGTCCTGCTCAGCTGGAAATGACAGGTTTATTTAAAGCATGAGATAGAGGAAGATTGAAATTCTGCCAGTACCCTGTGTTCTGGTAATCCAGGCACATGATAAACCTGGTTTCACGTAACAGGTAACGGTTCTTTCTTTCCTCCATAAAACAGGTCAGACAGGATCGGAAGAACTGAGCCTGCTCTCCATGTGATAAAAAAAAACATTCATATCTCCAAAGAATTTATGACCCCTTCCTCACTTTTCAATAAAGGGCAATACCACATATGCCACATTTACAAGTTTTGGGGTCACTAACCTCTCATGCTGAAATAAAGAAGGTCATGTGCTTATGATGTATTGACACTTACATGGGACACCATGTAAGAGTCAATACATCTAGTTCAGTTGCACTTCAAGAAGTGAAATTTGCAACCTAGCAATTCATAATCTAATGAAGATCCAATGGATTTCAGAGCAAAAAAAACAATGAAACCCCATAACACATGCCTTGTCATATCCAAATACAATGCAAAGGTAAAGAAGGGGTTTAATGATCTGGCTCTTGGAATATAGAGGATACTACAGCCCAACAAAGGGCTGAACTGAGGCCTGCCAACATGATGCGAGTATGCAAGATGGGTATGCATAACTTTTGACATATCTTTTGGGCATGTAAATTTTAATTAATGCCTGTCTTTTCCAATCAGAGCCTTGAGTATACCTGTAGTTCCAGGTGGAGTTGTGAGGTGTGGAACTCCTCCATGAAAGTGCAGATAAACTTGGCTCTTGGTCAAGTTTACCATAACATTAAGTCAGGCACATGGCAATGCTCATAGGCTAAAGCTGCATTCACCATATTATTTACATTATTCAGAAGAGCTGAACCTCTGTGGCTATGGCATTTCTCTCTCCATATGCCTATATTTTTACTACCTTTATCTGCCCCTGAAGGTAGCCAGAAATCTTTAATTAGTTACAGCATAACCACACCTTGTCGGCTCGTGAAATATATGATCAACTATGAAAATAAGCTGAAACATGAACAGATGTCAGGTCATAAAATGTCAATATCAGTTAAAGAAATGCCTAAAAAGAGAAGACCTGAGAGGCATTTTTCATTAGGTGATCTAAGCCTTGACAGTGAGGAAGGGTTATTTCTTTCATTCATTAGAAATGTTGCAGTTTGACTTCAGTTTATGGCATGAACATGATTCAAGACTAAACTTATCCTTAAAAATACCACTTACAGGTTACCATAGGTGCAGAGTTTTCATAGCCAGAAACAGTAGTAATTTATATACCTGTTTGTATACCAGAAAAATATTAGTGTACCTAAGTTCAGAATATATCCAAGCTACCAAGCAAGAGCTTTCATTGGCACATTCTCAAGAAGATTGCTGTAGATGATTCAAATGTTTTATGATTGGAAGATGTCTTCCTCTTGGAGTCATGTCTAAAGTTGAGAAAGTTTATATTCCCAACTAAAGTTGGTGCAGGTGAGGAAGCAGATTGGAGTTATCAACTTTACAACAACAAAAAAACCTTTGATATGCCATACTAAATCATCTACTCAGTCTGAGGAATTCCTTTTCCTGTTGTCACATATTGCCTTGGCCCAAGCCAATGGGACTTGGCCTTTAGGGGTAGGAAGAGGTTTCTAGGGCATGAGGTAACAACAATGAAATGGACTCAGTCAAAAAGGGAGACTTTCTCTTATATCAATCAAAACAAAATAAAAAAAACATTTCAAACCCAAGTTCTTTCTCTGGCATATCTTTGTGATGTTGGCATACATCTTGTCAGGTCCACAATTTTCTTCTTGAGGAAAATTGCTAGTGGCATCATCAAGTGAAGAAATTTGTTTTCAAAACCTTTACACTTACTTTTGACAGGGACTTACCTTGAAAAAATGTTAAGTTCCAGAATATGGGATATGAAGGATTTTAATTTCAGTCTAGTCCTTGCAAATGTCACATAACACAGCAGAGGCAGATACAGAAAATTTTCATTGGGGGGGCAGCACCTTAGTTCCTACAACCCACTTCCACCACTCCCTGCCCTATCACCTTTTCATTCCTCATCTGGGGTAAAAACTTGAATATCTATTTCACTGGCTCCAATAAAAATTAATGCAGAAGCTATAAAAAAGAAATATATATATAGAGAATGCTAAACTGGTCATTGGGGGGGGTTACCCTCCATCCCTCCCAGGATCTGCCACTGACAGGGAGTGGAGGCAGCCATGCTTGAAGAAAATATTAGATGGGCATTCCCATATTACAGTCACAAATAGATCTCTCTCATTAGAGAGGGATAATGGATGAGGGAAGACAATAACTTTAGATCAGGGGTACACAACTTAAAAGACTGTGAGGGCCACTTGCAGCTTTTACTCACATACTGTGAGCCATAGTCTGGTTGACCATAGCTGTAGCCATAGTAGCACTTACAATGCCATCAGTCATGGTGGGCTGCAAGCAAGGACCATGCAGGCTGCTGGCCGTATGTTGTGTACCTCTGCTCTAGGTGAAATAAACTTGAAGACTGCTTCTATGGTTGGATGGTAAACATGAATGTCACAGAAGTACTACAGTGAATGGCATAAGCCAATATATCTTCACCAACATGTATACATTTCATACAGTTGGTCTAGTCTTTCATTTGAGTTTTCATACGAACAATCTCAGACACACGGTGTGTGCATAAAATAGTGATTCCCCATTTATGTTTTATCTCTGAAGATAGACAGAACAGAAACATGTCTCTGTTTCTAATTAAGATGAAGTTGACTGCACAAAAGGCCTAATCAGTTCACAGCCTATCCATAGGTATATAACCTAAGGGTTAAAAAGCAAAAGGAAGAGAAACAAATCAATGGGTATACATTGGGCTACCCTGGATTCAGTTACAATAGAGTTACTCAACTTCAACAGGCTCATGGACCATATCTTCCATTATTGTACTACAGACCACTAGTGGCCCAGAGACAATATGTCAAGTTGTCCTGAACTACATCAAAGTCAACACAGCTTCTATCCTCTTCATATCCCTATTGTTTTACTCAGCTTTTAAGAGTACAACCAAGCAGCTCAATTACTTGAGTCAAACATCAACATAAAATTTTGTCAATTTGATCCCTGCCCATGCCCAGACTTTTTTTTCTTTTCTTCCATTCACCTCTACTGAGCTTCCTAACATTAGGGAGGCCAATCCTTGGGTGTAGGGAAAATGGCACTAGAAAAGAAAGGCATAGGCATAGGCCATACTTGCCCTAGAAACAAGGCAGTGGGTTGCTGTGAAAATGTAGCCAGCAGAAACAAAGAAACTAATTAAATATCAAAAGCACCTGGCTTTGAGGTGAAAGAAGAATTTACAACATTGCACACTGTATGGAGTAGGGCAAGCCCCAAAATCCTGACCTTTACTGTGGCTCTAAGTTGTTCAAGAAGAATGCTTGCAAGACCTTGATAAACGGCAAGCAGTAAAAGTGGCTTTAGGCTTGCAGTTACGAAAATCCACCTCCACCACCAAGGAGCAAGATATCAAAACCCACACAGACGACCGACAGTAGCAGAGGGAGGGGTTACTTATCAAATCATCATCCATCCCAGTGAAAGCTGAGGCTCAAGCTGGCCTATCATATATAGACCTGGGCTCACGATTCCCATTGAAATTCATTCTGAAAGCGTCCATTGTAGGCTACGATAAAACTCCATTGCGTCATATTCTCGTGAGCCACAACACAAACACAGCCATGCTCTCCCCAAAGGTAAGGAGACTTCAACCCGAAAAGTAGGCCTACGAAGTTAATCCGATCAGTTAGACCAAATAACAGGAGACTGCGCATTGGTCTAACCCTGTGCGCAAAGGTTATAAAAATTAGCGAAGAGTTTCAGAATGAAAGCCAAGATAGACCTATGCACTCACAGCACCCTTCACGTACTCGTAGGCCTAACTGATCCACACGAAACGGACGATTAGGGAAAAAAGAGGTGACGAAGAGCGTATTCGATTCTTGGCTCGCTCTGCTCCGGGCCGGCAATCAGCGACGTCGGGGATGCGATTATCCAGGAGTACTTAGATAGGACGTGGGAAAAAATATACGCCTAGACAACAGATATTTTATCTCTTGACAATTTACCAGCTAAGAGATCCAAACGAAAGCCTGAGGTTTCAGCGGTGAGAGAGGGAAAATATTCGAGCATGCCTGAACGGTACCGGACCGGGGAAGTTGCGTCAGAGCGCGGCTGGCGGCCGAGGAAGATCAGGTTGAGACCGGACTGACACTCTGGACTCAGGGCCGGGTTAAGGGGGGAAGGGGGGGGGGGGGGCAAAGGGGGCAGTTGCCCCGGGCCCCCCTCTTCCCGGGGGCCCCCGAAGGAAATTTAAAACGCTAAGTGCAAAAAAAAGTATTGTATTTGCTTATAGTAGCGAGGGGAGTATAGGAGGGGGAGCCCCAGGAATTCACTTGCCCCGGGCCTCGCAACTTCTTAATCCGGCCCTGCTCGCATGTTTTANCATTTGAGTAAAGTACCGGGGGGGGGGGGGATTCACTTGCCTCGGGCCTCGCAACTTCTTAATCCGGCCCTGTCTGACCTCCTTCGTAAGTTTGTTAACTTGTTTATTTCCGAATTTTCTTTCGAGTTGCTGCTTCGAATGAAATGAAATTCTGATACTCGCGCGTTTGCAACACGCAACGAGGGCATAAAATGGCCCAGTTTGTTTGCCCAAGGGTTTTGGGGGTCATAAATTTTATTGATTGGACTCTAAAAAATAATTTTTTTTGGCCATATATGCAGGATGGGTTACAAATTTTTTTTAATGTCAACCACACCCTCCCCCCCTCCCCCCTTTCCTCATTGGGATTTTCTGGGCACGCTATGGAAATATCCAAGAAGTGGTTTTAAATGTTTCCATGCGATTGACATCAAAGCCTACCTTGAGAGCAGTGGCGTGCCCAAGGAAGGGATGGGGTTTGGGGGTCAGCCCTCCCCCCTCCCCAATTGGAATTTTTTGGGCACGCTATTGCTTGAGAGTAACGTATATTTCATCTCATGAACGCAATCCAGGTCCCAACCTAGGCACTTCCCCATTTAACACCGAATATCCATGAAAGACACCGAATATCCGTAAGAATTCCCTCAACTTCCAAATTAATCGAAATCAGACAGATGGTTGTTGGGTTTTTTGGAGTTTCGGAGAAGTTTGAATCTTCCTAGTGGGATACATAATTTTGATCAAATTGGTTGATTGGAATCGTCTGGAAGTGATTCCTTCGTTTCACCTCGGACTGATTCCAATTCACCCAATTTTGCTGTCAGTGCTAACCCGATTTTTGTTATCTCAAGGGGTAATCGAGACACCCAGATGAAACTGAATTTTATTTTAGTCGAAGCATTTTCAAATTAAATCAAAATCAATTATCCGTGGAATAAAATTCGAATCTCAATTCAATAAACCCCGATTTGATTGAAATGCAATATCCCGCCTGGGAGGTCCAAAAGACTCCCTGAAGTAGAGAGCTGCACGGGCACCCAAATTCGCAGAGGCCAAGAATGGAAACGTTACGCTTTTTATTTCACATAATCCTTACAGTTACGAAACGAACTTGATACGATTCTGCTTCGGTGAAGTTCTGAATCCGAAAGAAAGTCGCTAGACTGCCACTTGTTTTCTCGAACCGGATAGACCTCTACCGCTTTGCTTTGAAATTTCGATTCAATGTAAATAACCAGGATGGAGTGGTTTCCCTTAGCATTTTCTGCCACGTACCACTTCAAGAACTCACCAAGCGATAAGATTGGCGCACCTTTCGTGCCTCACTATTGCATTAATAGGAAAATGTATTATTGTTCATTGACAAGATGATGAACTGGGATCGATTGACAGACGAGTAATTGTGTCTACAAATATGAAGACCTTTGTGCGGCCTTTCAATAGGCATTGCATCCTTATATTGTTTCCAAGTTGTTTGTAGTTGTCATGTGTCTTCTTTTTTTTTTTTTTACAAGGTCCAAAAATGAAGAAACATTGAAGCGGGTTTGAGGCGGGTTTATTGGCGACTAGTATAATACAGGGGTCAGGAAGAGAGACAAAAGCAGGTGACTCCAACATAAAAAAAGTAACGGGGGAGGTTTCCAACAGGATAAAACTCTAACCAATAACAACCTGATAAAATCTTCAGGAAAATTCTCAAGACCCTGTGAGATCAATTTCATGCAAAAACGTGGTAACTCGAATGGACGGAAAACATCACAAGGACTAAATTTGAAAGATAAAAAAAAAATTATGTGACTGGAACGGATGGTAACTTATTGTTGCGGGGAATTCGCTTCACTTATGGCACTGCAACTTACTGAAAAGAATTCAAGCAGGAAAAAAAATTTTTTTGAGGAAAATCTTAGGCTTATCACAGTGATTTCACTTGGGGTGTTAGGGAGTCTGCCTGGGTGTTCGGATCAAGGGCAGAGGTTTTCCCTTCCCGTTTCCGTTTGCCGTCGACGGGTAGAGGTTCCTCGACCACCGTACGTCTGCCAGACCCAAAATCGGCTGCAGGTCGTAGGCAGGGCCGACGATGGGATCCCCGATGTTCTGATTCTCATCTGCTATCGCTGCGATATCGGCATCTTCCACCTGGATGTGGTTAATATCGCCGTTTCCGTCCAATGTCGGCCCATAATCGTCCTGTTCGTCCGGTGCCGCTCCGAAATCCCGAGGTTCCGGATCGATATCGTCCGGTTCCAGAACGTCGTTCCCTGGGATATAGACCCGGGGCTTTCGCTCCCCAGCCATGAGGGAACGGAGCGGGACGTTGTAGCATTTGCAGATGCAACAGGAGGGGAATTTAAACCAGTCCGAGAAGATTCCGCGACAGTCGTTGCTGGGGTCGAAAGCGAGAAGCCGATGGAGCCGATACTGCTGCTCGCATCGGCACCCGTCCCTGCAGTACATCTGACGATGCTCGTGCCTGCATAAAAAAAAAACATGATTACATATTCGACAAATCAGTCCCCGGTCCATGAGACGAGTAGGTCTGTGAAGAACTGAATCGCGAAGGCATCACAAAGCACTTTGTATTGCCCTTACGGCTAACTTTCCAGTTTTTTTTTTGTTCATTTTTTTTTTCAGCTGAAAATCCCGTACAATGAAAAATGAGAGGAGCTGAAAAGTTCTAGATCTCTCTACCTCCTATTCTAAGAAAGTCCACTTTCACCTCCATCAAGCTTGACACGTCAGGTCACCAGATGACGTGTGACCACGATCACGAGCAATCAGACAAAACATGAACAGCTGACTCAGGCGAAAGAAACATCCTTGTAGAGGCGAGTTTCATCTGGACTTCATTGGAATTATGCAGAGGGAGTCTCTTCTGTCCCATTGTATGTCTCCTTCGTAGAAGGATTGAACAGGATGCGAATGTTTTCTCTGAATGTAAGCCATATAAGCCTTTATTTCATTTACGAAAGCTGCCTAAATCGACTTTCCTCAAGGTCTTCTCCATCCATTTATATTTATAAGTATGGGGAACTCCACTTCGCAGAGCAAGACCAGATTTCACAGGTCGGTGAGTAGCTATTGCAAACGGCATTTCATTTTCAGGACTCATTTCAATCGCCCATGATAATTTCGAGATTTCAATCTCATTAATTTATCAAATAATTCCAGTCTAAGTTTCCGTTGGTCTGGTATATCAACTCTAAATTTCGACGATGAGCTGGCTGAAATGAATATTTCCTGGCTGATTGAACAATTTTACAGCTGCATCAAACCTGCCACCTGGGATGCTCGCATTTCTCGGCGAAGTGTTCCAGCAGCGCTCTCATGGTCCAAATTGTGTCATGGGGCTCTCAATTCTCGTTGAATCCTCCTTACTGGCAATACTTCTTCCTCATTGCATTGTCGACAAAGTGGTGCCTAGTCAGACAAGCAATATCGACTCTTGGTAACTGGATTTGTTGTTACATTACTGATTTGTCGGTACTTCCACTTCGTCAAAATAAGTAATTGCTTATTTCGTTATGAGTGCCCCTTGAGCCAACCCACTCTCCTGTGAGAGAGATGACACCTACGAGGCTCACTATTAATTAGCCTTCTCTGCAGCCCGATCGGCTGAACTTGAGGAAGACGCATTGCTAAGTTTTTGGCAAACTGCGGGCATTTGCAGTTGATCAGACGTCTTTGCTGTCCTTCTTTCAACAATAGCCTTTTAAATCACTTAGTAAACGTTTAGTCCAATTAAGAAAATGAGGCTTTGGGTTGAGATGTAAACGGAGCCCTTAGTTTCGATATATGTGCGTGGCACTGAGTACTAGTGAGAAGATACTTCTGCCGCGTATATTAGAGACATCTAGTGGGGGCTTGACGAGTCTCTTACACTCTCTCTGCGCAGTTGGCCGCTGTCTTCGCTTTCGCCCCCCTTTCTTTCTCCCTAATGCTGGCCTCGTTCTAGACCTTTTCAGCTCCTCTGCCATGATCGCACTGGCGGATTGCCAAGAGCAGAGTGGGATAGAATAATTTGCTTCTGATGGATCTGCGACCGTCTCAGGTCAACAGGCATGCTCGAGTAAATATTGACGTGGAGAAATAAGGATTGGCTTAATATAGTTGAACTTCTCAGGCTTAACTTGAGTCCGCTTCTTATTCTTGACAGGGTGACTACAGGAAGGCAGTAAAAAAAAAAAGCACAACTAATTTTGAGATATTTCTGGAATAAAAGCCTCAGGAAACACGATCTGAACAACGAGGTTATTTTGTCAGCTTTAGCGTCTCCAGTTTTTGCATAACTCGACTGCCAAATATGAAGATCTCAGATTAGGAGTACTCACGTGCACTTCTCCCAGTGGATGTACTGTTCGAAGGGGTAGAGGTTGAGGAGGGCGAGGACCTCCCCGCGAGTGTTGTTGGCCCAATACGGCGCCACCACCTCCTCCTTCACCGGACACGCGTTCCTGTCAGGAGCAGCAGCGTTCGTGGGTGCTTTATTCAATTGCAGGCAGGTATTCCCTACGAACTAAAAATTTCCTCCACCCTAAGCTTTCCTTTTAGCTGGTTGGCCAGCTGCCCTTGGGCGATCGTTATCCCATGGAATGATCACAACAAATTGGGTATCGTTGGAAAGTTGTCTTACGGCTAGCCAACAGTGGCAGCTTGTGGGCGAGAAATCTGGGTCACACCATTTGATCTTAACAATGAGCTAGAATTCATTATAGGCATTAATGCGAGTGCGAAGCACAAAAGGTGTGAAACACAATGCCAAGCAGCAAATGAAAGGCTGCATGGAAGAAGTTCCATGTTGGTAGTTTATACCGAATCGAAGTCTTGTAAATGCAAGCGGAAATTGACGCTTCCATCGAACACTTGAGGGAGAATAGAGGCGTATCCGGTCCTAAGGTAAAAGTAACGGTCTGACGACTTTCTCCTCAGAACTTCAAAACAGATTCGCATCCAGCTCACTTGGGGACTATCATGATTATGTAGAACGGCCTGTCTCGAATTTTTCATCCTTGGCGACTGCGTCGATATTAATCGGCAATGAGAATTTGGATGACCGAGCAGCCCTCTACTTCAAGCAAAAGAGCCTAAAGACGTGCTACCGCTTGCTGGCAGGCACCCGCTCATGCGCAGTGCAGGCGGCGAGGCCGGCCTCCCCGCTGAGGTAAACTACAGTATCGCGTGTGCCACGTCTTACCCTTACGCGTTGTCTATAGGCCGGATGAGGCCTCCTGGTTCTTGCCTCCCATCCGCATTTCTGGGCAGGAGTCAACGCACTTTGCTCGTTTTGCGCCAGTTGAGAATGAATCTGACAATTCTGGGGGTTCTTTCAGACGTTTGATATCGTAATGGACACGTCCAATTCGTTTGCATACTCCTAAAATATTTTTTTGGAGATCGGGCCTCCCTTGCCTCCCCGGGCGAGCCCCCACTGCTTTCCAATGATGTCCAAAGTACCGTCATCTCAGAACGGGCTGACACCCAATAAGGAAATCCCCCATTAAGGAAACGAAAGGACTGACGAGCGGGAAGGGAGTTTCTTTTCTCCTGGAAGGGCATCTCTTTCATAGTCATTGGGGTTCATTATCCTCCTGATCGGTAGGGATTGCCAGCCATGCCACCTGGCATCCCACTTCCTGTCCCCGCTCATGCCTTCAAGTGCCCCCCTCTCCAGCCGTGCTGCATGCGCACATCCTGGCGCTGAAGGCAGCCCTCATATACGCATCATATACCACGTACGACTGCATAGCCCAATTCCTTTGCACGAGACCAGCCACTGGTGTGCCTCATCGAGGAGTGACTTCAAAACCCCAGGGTTAACGTTTTAACTGCGAGTTACTCCATTAAATATGGCTGAATGATACCTTTCTATTAGAGCGATTTGTGCAAAGATTCTGCTTGAAAAGTCTCTCAACGAAAATTTTATATACTTGTCATACTGTGTACTGAGACGATGCGAAGATTCTCGGTAACTAGCTTTAGAGATCATCAGGAGGGCCTCCTCACGCGGCATTGATCACGAATGATGATTGAGGCACCTTCAACTTCGCATTTTTCAAGGGCAAACGGGTGAAGCTTCTGCACGTTTTCCGCCAAAATGCGACAAATTCGCACGTATGTCTCTGCACGGTTCGTAAAGCACAAGAACAACTTCATGTAGCGGTTTCTAAATTCATATTGTGGTTCTTTAAACGGAAAAACTATTTGCGGTCCCGCTGATTCAAGAATGTTTTCCAAATGGCAAGCAAGAGTGGGACCGTCTGGAAGGCACCCTTGCGGCGAGAGGCAACAATGTGAAAAAAGGGAAATTTACTTTTGTAACCGACGAAAAGTAGAAATTTTTTACTAAAATCATTAATGGCATGGAGTCCCTCACATTCTGTTGAGAGAAGGGACTGAGAATGAGCGAGGTATGGCGAGTGGGAGAAGAGGACGAATGAGAGGAAAACGAGAGGAGGGGATGGGGGGGGGGGGGGGGGAGATGA